AATATTCGAAAACTCGGGACGATAGTTTCGCTCAATGGATTTGGAACAACAAACCAGAGCGAACGTTTGCACAGCCCATTGGAATGGGCCTTTCCACCGAGCGGACGCCCGCCTGACTGTTTTTCTAACACCCTGCTCGTAGGATAGAGACTTCTGGGAAAGGAATTAGTTAAGGAACTAGTTCAAGAATATTCACGTGACCTACGTCAACCTTGAAATTCTTCCCCTCCGTTCTCAAGGAACTCTTCACGTGTTTTTTCACTCGAGCGAGATTTCGAATTTTGCGGCGTACACGCAATTGGCGCGAAGCCTGTAATTGTTTAAATTTGAAACACAGGATCTTAGTCAAATTATGAACTTAAGAATCGAATAAATTGAATTAATTGTTCGATGAATTTCCGAAGAGTTACGTAACGATGTGATATATGATTAATAATCACGTCGATATTCCCGGCAGCAGAAATAATTTCGTAATCTCGAACGAATCCTGTGTTTCGTGCCTGTGTGTGTCGCTTGCCATCGTCGGATGCAATATTTAACAAATTGCTTTCGTTCCCATCGTCGGGTTTCCCTCCTTTGTGCCACAGCGTGCCATTCAGGATTACGCCGAAATGCTGGCAATGCGATCGTTTAAGACTTCATTTGATGAATCGAGAGAGAGAGAGACAATGGGACACTTTGTCGCAGGATCGTGGTAAATCTTGCATCGTTGCTGGCGAAGAAGTCGTAACACGGAAAAACCGTTTAACTTTTGTCGCGCAAACGTCTCCACGTTGTTATTAGTAGCTCTCAAGTTATAATTTCAGCATTCCTGTTGTTCGAAATGCGTTTATTTTAGAAGAGTTCTTCATCAGTTTATATAATCGAAGATTTTTTTTTTCTTTTTCTTTCAACGGGGAGAAGTAAATTTATTTCGTTCAACGTGAAATTGTATCGATCTGTGGTGCGTCGAACACCATTCAATCAGCGATCGCGTCCGTTATGAATGAAGCAGTTTAAGAAACGTTTAAAGGAAACAGATTATCCGTTTGGCGGGCCGTCTTATGGATTTGTCTTACGGATTTTCAAGCAACAGCCCGGAAGGCTGACGTGTTTCTTATTAAAGAAGATTTTACGATAAACAGATCGTCAAACACGAGCCAGGTGTTTCAAACTATCACGCAGTCCCGAAAATATTGTTATACACTAATGGCGAACACCGTAAGTGAGTACAGTTGGTAACAATTTTACTACCAGGCTACAGACATTTACCCAATTTTATACTTTTAGAAATACAGACGGCCCTCGACTTTCGTTGAAGTGTATAAACGTCAGAAAGTGTATAAACAAGTAATATTTTATTGATTAGTATCTAGTGCTTTCTTTA